ATCCTCTGCATTGTGTAAAAAAGGCCATTTGATCCTTTCTTCTCTGTCCCTCCCCTTTTTTAAGCGACCACCTTTTATCTCCAGACTGAACCGTAGGCATGCACATGCTCAGTTTAGTGTGTATTGCTAGAAAGGATTTTTTTTTTTGGGGGGGAGAGCGCATGTGATTAACACAGGACCAATCAGCACTGTCCAGACAGAGGTCAGGGGATTTGCATCCTCCTAGAGCAGAAGGAGAACTCCTCCTACAAGCTTTAGCTAGTGCTGGGCTGGACACAGATAGAAGTCACAAGTCTGCTCTAACTTCTGATGAGAAAAGGTATTTAGCAGTTTATATTTACTAAAATCATTGTATTTCCATGTTCTGTGTACAGTGGGAGACCAGATATAGAGAATGCAGGGTCCTGGGTTTAGTAACACTTTAACCTACAACTGTGAAAACTCTCATTACATGCTATATAACAGAGTGTGCATACTCACAAAGCCATACAAGCATTAATTTTGTGTAGAGTGAATTATACCTGGTTGATCCTGCCTTCCCTTCACCCGTCCCTCCCATCATCTCTGTGTCCCCATTGCAGCCTGAAATTGTGTGGACCAGTCTGTGTCCTCTATTGGGCATACTCAATTTATTTCTCTTCTTCTCCATATTTCTTCTCCATAAGGAGAGTATGCATACTCACAAAGCCACAAAAGCATTAATTTTGTATAGAGTGAAATATACCTGGTTGATCCTGCCTTCACCTGTCCCTCCCATCATCTCTGTGTCCCCATTGCAGCCTGAAATTGTGTGGACCAGCCTGTGTCCTCTATTGGGCATACTCAATTTATTTTCTCTTCCTCTCCATATTTCTTCTCCATAAGGAGAGTGTGCATACTCACAAAACCACAAAGGTATTAATTTTGTGTAGAGTGAATTATACCTGGTTGATCCTGCCTTCACCCGTCCCTCCCATCATCTCTGTGTCCCCATTGCAGCCTGAGATTGTGTGAACCAGCCTCTGTCCTCTATTGGGCATTCTCAATTTATTTCTCTTCTTCTCCATATTTCTTCTCCATAAGGAGAGAGGGCATACTCACAAAGCCACAAAAGCATTTATTTTGTGTAGAGTGAATTATACCTGGTTGATCCAGCCTTCACCCATCCCTCCCATCATCTCTGTGTCCCCATTGTAGCCTGAAATTGTGTGGAATAGTCTGTGTCCTCTATTGGGCATACTCAATTTATTTCTCTTCTTCTCCATATTTCTTCTCCATAAGGAGAGAGTGCATACTCACAAAACCACAAAAGCATTAATTTTGTGTAGAGTGACAAATACCTGGTTGATCCTGCCTTCACCCGTCCCTCCCATCATCTCTGTGTCCCCATTGCAGCCTGAGATTGTGTGAACCAGCCTGTGTCCTCTATTAAGCATACTCAATTTATTTCTCTTCTAAGCCCTTCATTTCCTCCTTTTTCCTATCTGTGCAACCCATGAGAGTATAGAGTCACACCTGTGGGCATATACACAGTGGTAAATGACACTCCCCACTCTTCCTTCTCCTCCCTGTTTTCCTATTGATAAACACTATGGGGGTGAAATATAATATGCTGATTGATTCCATTGACTAAGAAATTAGCAAAAAAGCTTAGTTTTAATATAAATCGGTATTAAATATATCAAATGTAATTTCTAATTCCTGTAAAGTAAAAAAGAGCCTTGGATGTACATGCCATCTCAACAAAATGAAAGCTAGTGTCAATCATCTTTGACTCCGCCTACACCATATTAATGCACAAAAAAATACACATTTGATGCCCAAAAAATATTTATAGGGAGCTATAAAACAGTTTTTGATTTTCATAATTTAATTAATTTTTTTATTTATTTCAGGTACTTATATAGCGCCATCCATTTACACAGCGCTTTACAGATATATTGTACATTCACATCAGTCCCTAAGCCTCAAGGGGAGTACAATTTAAGGTCCCTAACTCACATTCATACATACACACACACTAGGGCCAATTTAGACAGGAGCCAATTAACCTACTGGCATGTCCTTGGAGTATAGGAAGAAACCAGAGGAAACCCACACAGGCACAGGGAGAACATGCAAACTCCAGGGAGGTGGTGCCGTGGTTGATATTCGAACCAACAACCCTAGTACTGCCAGGCAGAAGTGCTAACCATTTAGCCACTGTGCTTGAATTGCTCTTCTGCAACAATTTTTTGTAGTCATGTGCAGGGGCGGACTAACCATTTGGAAACTCGGGCAGTGTCCGAGGGCCCGGGGTCAGTAGGGGGCCCCATGAGATGACTGATATAAATAAACAGTGCAAACATAGACCTCTAAATACAATCAATATATAAAGTGCGTACTAATATATCGTAAATCATATTAATAGTGAAAATCCATCATAATAGTAAACACCAAAAGTTTGTGAAATATATAAAAAAATCCGTGTAAAGATAAGAAATCCAAAATTCTTCAGATGCAAAGAAACTTCCACCTTCCACCCGTGCAAACCAACATCAAATACACTCACCAGATTTTTGGTGAATGAGACGCCTTTTAGGGATTTAAAGGGATCCTAAGCCCTCTTTCGTATCCACTCTATAGGATTCCTCACCATCAGAATAGGCTCCACCATTCAACCAGGGGAAAAAAAATCTCAAATAGTGTGATATTGCTAATTGATAATATTATTAAAAATCAAAGATAAGGCCACTCGCATTTCAGCCACTTTCAAAAGGCATATTTATTATAAATATTCCAATATAAACCAGCGCAAAAGACAATTAATAAATAATAAATAAACATAAAATAATTTTCAAAGTCCAGTGATGAAAATAAGTGACCACAATACCGTGACACAAAAATCTAAAAAAATATATATATAAAAGTCCAGTGATGTAAAAAAAAAAACGTTCTTGAAAAGTAAACTACAGTGCTTCAAATAATTCTTCCACCATCCACCAGTGCCAAAAACCAACATAAACCGCACTCACCAGATATTGGTGAGTAAAACACCTTTCAGGATTATTTAGGGCTCCTGGACCCCCTTTGAGGACTCCTCTATTTTCCACCTCAGACCTATGGGTGATTCTTCAATCGTCTCCTGATTTAAATTCTGATTTAAATATTTATTATAAAAACCTCTTCCAGATGGACAATGAGTAATTTACAGCCTCCTCAGGAATCTCACATCACAGCTCCAGGATACAGCAGAAGATCCACCATGAGATGCCCCTGGTACCTTTTTCATAGGCTTTTTTGAGTTTGGGCAAGGACACAGGGGCCCCATGATCCCCTATTGCCTGGGGGCCCCATGAGTTGTCAGTCCACCCCTGGTCATGTGACTGGCACAGCACCAATCAGGGCTGACCATACACAGACTCACAGTAGTAACACACTCCTCCCAAACTACTCTCCCTTGGCATCAGAGACACCGCTCTCTCTTGGTTCTCGTCCTATCTATCCCAACGCTCCTTCAGCGTTTCCTACAACGATGCCACCTCCTCTTCCCTCCCCCTCTCTGTTGGGGTCCCCCAGGGCTCTGTCCTTGGACCCCTTCTCTTCTCCATCTACACCTCCTCCCTTGGCAAACTCATACACTCCCACGGCTTCAATTACCACCTCTACGCTGATGATACTCAAATCTACCTATCCCCCCCTCACCTCACCCCCACATTCTCCGCCCGCATCACTCACCTCCTAAACTACATCTCTGACTGGATGTCGCTCCATTTCCTCAAGCTCAACCTCTCCAAAACCGAGCTTCTCGTCTTCCCCCCAGCCCGCGCCCCCCCCATCCTTTCCATCACTACCAACAACACCACCATCAATCCCGCCCAGCGCAAGCCAAGGTCCTTGGCGTCATTCTGGACTCAAACCTTTCCTTTCAACCTCATATCAAATCTCTCACAAACACATGCAGGCTCCACCTCCGGAACATCGCCAAGCTACGCTCCTTCCTTACCCCAGACACCACTAAACTACTCGTACACTCCCTGATTATCTCACGCCTTGACTACTGCAACTCCCTCCTCACCGGCCTACCCCAGTGCAAACTCTCCCCGCTTCAGACCATCCTGAACTCAGCGGCTAGACTCATCCACCTCACCACCCCTCCACCTCTGCCACCCCCCTCTGCCTCTCCCTCCACTGGCTCCCCATTGCCCAACGCATTAAATTCAAATTGCTCACCCTGACCTATAAGGCCATTCACAACACTGCCCCTAACTACCTCACCGACCTGATTCCCAGGTACCACCCTACCCGTACCCTTCGCTCTTCACAGGACCTCCTTCTATCTTGCTCCCTGGTCTCCTCCTCCCACGCACGACTGCAAGACTTCTCCAGGTCCTCCCCCATCCTCTGGAACTCACTACCCCAATCCATCAGACTGTCACCTTCCCTCCTCACCTTCAGGCGCTCCCTGAAAACCCACCTCTTCAGGGAAGCCTACCCCACCCTCACCTAACAGCCGCTGCCCTTCCCTCCTCCTACCACTCCATCCCCCACAGCCGTTTCCTCCTGTACCACTACCCCCTCCCTCCTAGATTGTAAGCTCGAAAGAGTAGGGCCCTCTTACCCCTCGTGTGCTGTTTGATGTTACTGTACTGTTTCATGTATTGTCCCCCCTCTATTGTACAGCGCTGAGCAAACCCTTTGGCGCTATATAAACTCGATAAATAAATAAATAAAGGTCTTTCCTTGCAGATACCACAGAAAAGCAAGAGACCATGTGACCAAACAACAGTGCCACAGCAATAAAAAATATACAGTGGCATGATATACTGTATATGATTTATGTGAATTGATTATGGCATTTAACACTTCTCTGTTTAGTCTCACTTTAATTACTTAAAAATGAATACAAAACTGCATTAATCTGTGTATTTTGTATCTGCTTAGAGTTCAGCTTTAGAATACTAAACTTTGTGTAAGGAAAATGTAGGAGGGTGTCCCTTGGGTTCTAAGCAGGTGGACATTCCTTCTTCCTTGCCCATTAGGTATGTTGAATTAGAGCTCAGTAATTGTGAACCGTAATCTGTGCTTTGGACATTTAGTCATTTTTTTTTTTGTAAATCTTTTCCATGTATTCCCAGATTTGTGCACAGACATATGCAATGCACGTGCAGAATCACTGTTTATCACTGTCATGTGTAGTAATGACAATCCCAATGTCCCCTTATATTTCTGAGTAATTTAATGTACATTGGAGAAAACTGCAGACAATTTAAGCTAATGAAATAGATGATAATTAAGTGAAAGTGAGTTGTACTTTGGAACATTCCTCTGTATATTTTAACAAGTGCGTCCACTAACGTAGAAAGTTAAATACATTGCTATTTCTCAGGAGCCATTTTCACAAGCCTTTAGGGCATTTCAGGATGCCTATTAATTGGCCACCGGTGCATGAAAACTCACATTTTGTGTGCAGTCTCTTTCCATTGGGTAAGTGTATTCTAATATTTATTTTTAACCCTTATGAGTGCAAACCAGTAACCTTGTATTTCTTCTGCTGTGTTAACATTTGAACCAAATCAGTGTACCATATTGAGAATGGGGGACATTTTAAAAAAGAAAATGTAATTTCATTACCATCAATCTTTTTAAGAAAATACAGTATTTTCTGGCGTATAAGACTACTTTTTATACTTAAAAATATACCCCAAAAATTGGGGGTCGTCTTATACGCGGGGTATAAAATGTGAACCTTGAGTTTGTTTGGGTCAAGCTGGCTGGATGTGCAGTAATGTACATACAGTATACCGCGCTGAGCCAAGCTGGCCCAAAAGTAAAATGTCCCTATGAGAGATAATCTGTCAGCCCGCTGGATGTGCGGTAATATACTGTATACTGAGCCAAGCGGCCGGATTTCAAAACGTACCGGTACAGTATCCCTACGGTAATCAGCCCGCTGGATGCGTGATGTGCAGTAGCTGCGGCTACATACAGTATACACTGGGCCAGGGGCGGACTGACAACTCATGGAGCCCCCGGGCAATAGGGGATCATGGGGCCCCGCTTGTTTATGCCAAACTCAAAAAAATGTCTATGAAAAATCTAGCAGGGGCATCTCATGGGGCCCCCTATGACCCCGGGCCCTCGGGCAGCCAAGAGTTTCCAAATGTCAGTCCGCCCCTGCACTGGGCCAATCACAGTGAGTGATGTATTCTACTAATGAATACAAAGCCTGCTCGGATTGGCTGAGCCAGTGGGTGGGCTGACATGTCATGGGGCCCCAGCCAATCCAAGCAGGCTTTGTATTCATTAGTAGAATACATCGCTCGCCGTGATTGGCCCAGTGTATACTGTATGTAGCGGCAGCTACCATACATACACACATCCAGCGAGGGGGCCCCCCCCCCCCCCCCCCCCCCCCCCCCTATGAAAAAGGTGGGGGGGGGAAGGCAGGAGGGCTGATTACAGTAGGGATGTACCGGTACGTTTTGAAACAGCTTGGCTCAGTATACTGTATATACCGCAATCCAGCGGGCTGTATATATACTGTACTAATGAACGTACAAAGCTACCGTATTACCGCACATCCAGCGGGCTGTATATATACCGTATGTATGTCAAGCTGCCGTATTACCCACATCCAGCGGGCTGTATATATACTGTATACTGTATGTAGCCGAAGCTGCCGTATTACCGCACATCCAGCGGGCTGTATATATACTGTATACTGTATGTAGCCGAAGCTGCCGTATTACCGCACATCCAGCGGGCTGATATAGTAGGGATGTATACGTATTTAGCCGAACAGCTTGCTCAGTATACTGTATATACCGCACATCCAGCGGGCTGTATATATACTGTATACTGTATGTAGCTGAAGCTACCGTATTACCGCACATCCAGCGGGCTGTATATATACTGTATACTGTATGTAGCCGAAGCTGCCGTATTACCGCACAACCAGCGGGCTGTATATATACCGTATACTGTATGTAGCCGAAGCTGCCGTATTACCGCACATCCAGCGGGCTGTATATATACTGTATACTGTATGTAGCCGAAGCTGCCGTATTACCGCACATCCAGCGGGCTGTATATATACTGTATACTGTATGTAGCCGAAGCTGCCGTATTACCGCACATCCAGCGGGCCGTATATATACTGTATACCGTATGTAGCCGAAGCTGCCGTATTACCGCACATCCAGCGGTAACCATCTGATCTGGAATTTGATCCATATGACTGTCTTACAAATGTATCACAAGATGTCATTCATGAACTTATGATGTCAGAGGATGAACATGAGGATTTTGAAGGATTTTAAGTACCGGTAAGTCATAACCATTTCAATTAAAAAATCTGATGTTTTTGGTGTTGCCTCAGAAGGGGGGTAGTCTTATACGGCGAGTATAGCCCAAAACCTATGTTTTATCTGGAAGATTAGGGGTCGTCTTATACACCCAGTCGCCTTATACGCCGGACAATACGGGTATTTTACTATGTCCTCTTACATTAGAAAAGCCTAAACTACATTTTTATCATCATAGAATTTATATAGTCCTCAGTAACAGATGAGGTAATAAGGATTTTGATCCATTTAAAGAACACATGGTGAAGGTTTTGTCTTGTGAGAGTAGAGAAGCTGGTGAAGCCTGAGAAAATAGGTTCATGAACATGGTTGCTACAACATAGATTTATCTCTCACTGTCCATAAGGAGACAGCCAGCAGATTTTTAAAAATCCTTATTACTTAGCATGCTCCATTTATGCACCTTTGAGGATCCTTAGCACTTCAACAGTCATATCCGCAACAAAGTCTTAAAATTCAAGGGCCCAATATGGGACTATATCATTATGTCCTTTTCCTTCCTTGCAACCCTAACAGCATATTTTGAACTCCCCCCCCCCCCCCCCTACACCTCTTGAAACTGCACAAGAGAACACCTGTTTTGCTGCAATTTACTTAATGTGACTAGCCCAACAAAGAAGAAAAATAATAAGTAAGAAATTAGAAAAATAGGACCAGGGGAGACATAAATAAGGGACACAAAGCTGTCATCACACCTTTCAACATCACATTTCACCCTCTCAGGAGACATCCACCTGGTTATAATTGTCTGCTATATTTTTTACCATAACAAGTTTATGGCCGACATAACAATCAGAAGATGGACTTTAAAAGAACCATAAGGAGAAAAGGAAATAAAGAAAAAGGAAACAGAAAGCATTAAAGCGGAATTCTACTGAACTTAACTTTGTAAAAATAGTACCATAGATACATTTCACTAACATTAAACATTTTGTTTTTATATGAAATTCAGTATTAAATCACATAATACTAATATTTTGCAGCTTGAGAAAACATCAACCAATACTCCATGTCAATAATTTTATAGTTAAAGCCCTGCAACCACTTTGTGTCCACATTCACATTGAGTAATTATTAAAGTGTTACTAAACCCAGGACCCAGTTGAACGTCATGAATCTTTTGCTGGTGCCTCTTTTGGGAGTGGAGACTGGTGATCCAGCACTAAGGCCTGTACCTGCTGATGCCCGATCTCCTTGTTAAGCTGGTCATGAAAGGGTTCATCTAACTGACAATCTTTGCACGTCTTGCAGCTGAAATTTTAGTCAAAGATACTTTTAGCAAGTATTATGGAGGTTACATACTGTAGTTAGTCAGGTTGAAAAAAGACAAACGTTCATCTAGTTCAACCAATAGAAAAGGAAACAAATTAATAGAAAACCTCCATATACACAATCCTACAGTTGCAAGAAAAAGTATGTGAACCCCTTGGGATTACGTGGAGTTTTGCATGAATTGGGCATAAAATGTGCTCTGAACGTCATCTAAGTCACAACAATAGAAGAACACAGTCTGCTGAACATAATACTACACAAACATTAGATGTTGCCATGGTTTAATTGCACATAACAGTAAACATTCACAGTGCAGGGAGGAAAAAGTATGTGAACCTTTGGACTTAATAACTGGTTGACCCTCCTTTGGCAGCAATAACCTCAAGCAAACGTTTCCTGTAGTTGCAGATCAGACCTGCACAACGATCTGGAGTCATTTTGGACCACTCCTCTTCACAAAACTGTTTCAGTGTAGCAATATTATTGGGATGTCTGGTGTGAATCGCTCTCTTAAGGTCATGCCACAACATTTCAATCGGGTTGAGGTCAGGACTCTGACTGGGCCACTCCAGAAGGCGTATTTTGTGCTGTTGCAGCCATTGTTTTGTTGAATTACTTGTATGCTTTGGGTCATTGTCCTGTTGCATCGCCCATCCTCTGCGGAGCTTTAGTTGGCGGACAGATGGTCGTACGTTTTCCTGCAAAATGTCTTGATAAACTCTGGAATTAATTTTCCCATCAATGACAACAATCCGTCCAGCCCTGAGGCAGCAAAGCAGCCCCAAACCATGATGCTCCCTCCGCCATGTTTTACAGTGGGGATGAGGTTTTGATGTTGGTGTGCTGTGCCTTTTTTTCTCCACACATAGTGTTGTGTGTTCTTCCCAAACAACTCAATCTTGGTTTCATCTGTCCACAGTATATTCTGCCAGTAGTGCTGTGGAACATCCAGGTGCTCTTTTGCAAACTTCAAACTTCCTGCAATATTCTTTTTGGACAGCAATGGCTTCCTCCGTGGTGTCCTCCCATGTACTCCATTCTTGTTTAATGTTTTCCTTATTGTAGATGTGTCAACAAAAATGTTAGCATGTGCCAGAGATTTCTGTAGGTCTTTAGCTAACACTCTGGGATTCTTCTTTACCTCATGCAGCATTCTGTGCTGTGCTCTTGCAGTCATTTTTACAGGACGACCATGCCTAGGGAGAGTAGCAACAGTGCTAAACTTTCTCCATTTGTAGACAGTCTGTCTTACCGTGGGCACATGAACATCAAGGCTTTTGGAGATACTTTTGTAACCCTTTCCAGCTTCATGCAAGTCAATAATTCTTGATCGTAGGTCTTCTGAGAGCTCTTTTCTGCGAGGCATGGTTCACATCAGACAGTGCTTCTTGAAACCAGTAAACCCAAAACAGGTGTGTGTTTTTTAAGGGCAGGACAGCTGTCAGCAACACATCCAATATCATCACACTGATTGGAGTCAAGGTTGGCTCATCCTGGCTCCAATTAGCTCTGGGAGAAGTCATTAAGCTAGGGCCTCACATACTTTTTCCTCCCTGCACTGTGAATGTTTACATGTTATGTGCAATTAAACCATGGCAACATCTAATGTTTGTGTAGTATTATGTTCAGCAGACTGTGTTTTTCTATTGTTGTGACTTAGATGACGTTCAGAGCACATTTTATGCCCAATTCATGCAAAACTCCACGTAATCCCAAGGGGTTCACATACTTTTTCTTGCAACTGTATATCCACAGTTGATCCAGAGGAAGGCAAACAAAAAAACAATAAAGCATGATCCAATTCAGTCCAGTGGTGGAAAAAATTATTCCTGATCCCCCGGGAGGCATTTATCAACATTAAACCTCATTTGCTGCATGGATGCCCAATTAATCAGAGCACTGAGGTCGGCATGTAAGTTGGAGACATCCTGTAAGGACGTTATTCCACGGCACAGCTTGGTGTCATCTGCAAAGACCGAAATTGGATTTTTAATCCAGAACTATATATCATTTGTAAATATATTAAAAAGTAAGGGTCCCAACATTGGACCTTGGGGTACACCACTGATAACGTTAGACCATTTCAAGTACGAATCATTAACCTCCCTGGCGGTATTCCCGAGTGTAGCTCGGGGTAGAGTTTCAGTACCAAAAGCGGTAACCCCCCCCCTGAGCTACACTCGGGCTTACCATGCGGCATTGCTCAGGGATTCACTGCAGCGCTTACCTTGTCCTTCGCTCCCACGATGTGTCCCCTGCAGCGTCCCCGGCCATCTCCTCCGGCCAATGCCGGCTTCCGTGTTCCAGTCCCTGTGACGTCGGGACGTATGGGCGCCGGAACCAGCGGCACATTTTAAATTTTTTAAAAAAATGATTATTACATAGTAAAACATTTTTTTTTCAAACCATTTCACATACATGTTGTCCCGAGTGCTTTGTCCGGCGCCCTGCCTGCATTTTGAATGTTCTTTCTGCCTGGAAACTTTAGAAAAGTCCATGGCGTCCAAAAAGCGTCCCTTTACGTCAAAAGCGGTTTTAGACCGGCTAGAGAACAGCGATAG